CTGTCCCACTCTGTCCCCTCTCTGTCCCACTCTGTCCCTCTCTGTCCCCTCTCTGTCCCCACTCTGTCCCCTCTCTGTCCCACTCTGTCCCCTCTCTGTCCCACTCTGTCCCGCTCTGTCCTGCTGTAGGATCCATAACTACGTTCCTGTTGTTTCACTGGATGCGTTTACTTCCTGAAACCAAACAGCTGCGTCTTTCTGTGTTTTATGCTGCTGGGAATCTGGTGAAAAGGTTGAATCTGCAGGACAGAATCACATATTTAAATGTGTTTAAGCTGATTGAACATCAGGATTTATTGTTCGGCGTTAAAAACTGTCTGCATATTTACACAAAACAATAATTGTGAGTGCAGATGAAGTTGATTTGGGTCCACTCTAAGGAACAAACAGCTGAGCTGCACTGACGTGGCTCTGGGTCTCTTTACTGCAAAGCCAGATAGCGCTGCATACCTCCATGATGTGCTGATTGTCCTGGTCACATGCGCTGCTGCCTGCGGCTCTGTTCAGCTGAGCAGTGGGACAGACGGGAATGCTTGTCGTCTTCTTCAAGCTTTTAGCTGCAGATCAAATCGGTTGGACGTCTGAGACTTTCTCTGGTTTTAGTTTCACACATTATTCACCACCATGGGATCTTTGAATACCAAAGAGAAAAATTCATCTTCGCAAAATATTGGCCCAAGTCATTTTTTTCTAAAAGATGATTTTGGAGGAAAAAAAACATATCAACAAAGAGACGGTGTGCATTTTGCCGTTTATCCCTGTTCTGGGATGCCTCTGCCATAATTATTTCCTGTATAACTACCTGCTTAAAGATGAACAGTAGCGCCCTCTTCTGGATGGAGGCCACTCTACAACACTGACAGGTCAATCTAAGTGGATGTCATCAGTTAATTGAATGGAACAGATTTATAAACTATTAATCCACAGTTGATCATTTGTTTACATCTCTGATTTAAAGTTTTATTTCTAATCAAAGTCAGTTGTATTTTCTGAGATCTCGGTACGTCCACATGAACACGGGGCGTCATTTTCTCTCTGAAACTCATTTCCAAAAATACCTCTAACGTTCCCTGAAGAAACATTTTTGTGAAGACGAATAAAATGCTCCCATTCTTTAAAACATTTCGAGTTTCAAATCGTCATATTTTCTTCTCCTCATGGTATGCATCCTTCAGCTCATATTTGCAGCAGCGACACAAACCAGTGACAAACTGGTTTAAACCCACTGGGTTAAATGTTAAAACTGGTGAACTGCTGCAGGGTGTGGTAACACTGTATTTGAAGGGGGGTGAATAAGACTGTCATGACACCTTCATAAACATGACATAACACCTGTCATAAACATGACATAACACCTGTCATAAACATGAATAAGCCTTCATGAATATTAATGACTGTTGTCATAAAGCGTCATTCGGTAAATTATGACACTTTTAATACAAAGTTGACATTATTCAAAATGTCTTTGTTATGACAACTTGACATTAACCAAGAAATCATTACTGATATAAATTTGTTATAAAAGTATTAATGATTGCACTTTAAAAATGAGGTAACTTTATGTTATTAAAGGTAAAGTTTAAACAGTAATGATTTCCTGGTTAATGTCAAGTTGTCAAACAAAGAAATTTTTAATAATGTCAACTTTGTATTAAAAGTGTCATAATTTACCAAATGACGCTTTATGACAACAGTCATAAATATTCATGAAGGCTTATTCATGTTCATGACAGGTGTTATGACATGTTTATTACAGTGTCATAACAGTCTTATTCACCTCCCTTCAAATAAAGTGTTACCCAGGGTGTTTCTGCAGAGAAGACGACTCTGGTTTCTCCTGAACAGATTCCAGATTTCCAGATAAATTTCTCTGCTGTAGAAATCTGTGTTCAGCTGCAAACCAGATTATTCTTCATAACTGAAACGGTCTGCCTGGTTTGCACAGCTTTGATTAAATTAAGCCTCAGCTGAAAGATAACGATCCCATGTAAACAGACTGAGGCCTTCTGCTGCTTTCCGACATGGAGAGGAAACTTCCTGTTTATGCTGACACTTTCTGTTTTTTCTCTGCAGGTATCGCCTTCACAGACTTGCCAGTAAGTACCAGCTTCTGTTTTGTTTTCTTCTTTACTAATGGTTTATTTGGCTGTTTCAAGTCTAAAACAGATGTTGTTCTTTTCTGGATGCATCAAGAAGTTTCTTGTATTCTGTGGTTTTGATGACGACTTGGGGATTTTTAGTTCAGTTTAGTTCTGGTTACTGACCTCTGGCTCTGGTCAGCTGTTGGATCACAACGTGCTGAGATCCACAAGCTGGAAGTGATGAATTTTTAATGAATCCTTTTTGTTTTATTTATTAGTATTTCCAGTTTTTTGTTGAACTAAAAGCTCTTTGCTCTTTTATTTCTTAAAAGTCCAAATAAACAGAATCTGTTGGACTCTGGGGAGCCATCATCACTCTGAACTACGGAAGCCCAGAGGAGTGCGTTGGTCAAAAAGAAACCAGATTTTTCCAAAAATGAAAAATTCATGAGCAGCAGTTTCTCACCAATGAGTTAAAACTCCTACTTAAACAATTGAAAAGTGTTTATAACCTCTTTAACGTTAATTTATAAGCTAAGTTGATGGTGGAATATTGTCTCTTTGTGCTTCTGCTTGATGCAGAAAACAGGAAAGTTTTTGCTGTTTTTCTGCTTCCAGCTTGCATTTCGTTACATAAATAATTAAAAATCACTTTATTCTTCACTGTGGTCTCATGAATTGTGGTGATAAATGTTTAAATCTTTGTTCTGTACAATTTTGATATTTTCTGAAAACTTAAGCTCCAAGTCTTGTTTGCGTCAGTTGAGTTGTTGGAAATGACATTTATGAGCCGTGATCAAATCAAAGCAGCTCCAACCTAAAAGATGTTATTTAAAGGGGCATTTCCTTACTGCAGATTATAAAAATATTATTCTTGGTATGTAGCGGCTCCACGTCATAAGTAACTTTTTCCAGAAAAATAGACATGAATTTCATAAACGAGTATGAAAACCCCAGAGGATCACTGCATGGCCCAGTGGGAATTAGTCTCTGCGTTTGTCTGAAACTGAAAGTTTAGAGATTTTATTGCCCTTTTTTTACTCCTCCTGCTGCTTTGTTATGGTGAGGAACTCCTGCATGAGCAGGCCGAGTCCTTTGACATTCATGCATTCATTAACTGAGCTGAGAATGAGAAGGTTTTTTTCTCCTGCATGCTCTGTGAAAACACAGAGTCTGTTTTCTCAGAGAAGAAGTCGCCTCGGCCCCAACAGTGATCTATTGAGCTGCACAACAGACTTGGCTCTGAGCCTGACATTCATGTTCCTCCAGAGTTGTGCAGTGAAGTGCGTCACCTCGGCACGGCTGACCTTTCTGGCAGCTGATCCGTGACAAAGACGAGTGTGACGGACGGAGACGCGTCCAGCTTTTCTTCACTGCATTTATGCTGCATTGGATTTTGCTTCAGGAGTCGATTTTGTTCTGGTTGGAAAACCAGTCAGATTTATTATTGGCTGAGCTGCTTTTAGCAAAACAGGACTATATTAATGTATTTATCTCACTCCTAATGAGATAAATACTGAGATTTTAAGGTTGTTTTATGCGTTTCTTATTCCGTAGTTTTGTTTTTTATTCCTGTCTTTATATCTTCAACATGCCAATGAGATGGAAATTCTCCATCTGGCTATAATCTCATGTATTTACATGTAAATGTTTGTTAATATGTTTTGTCCCATTTTTAGAAATAAATGTAAACAAGTGAAGCTCATGTGGTTTGATGAAAAGCAAACTAAGAGTGCAAATGTGCAACTTTTTCTGTATTTTCTGCACAGCAGCCATATTGGATTCTGAACCTCCAGCTTTCCCAGTCTGAATTCCCACTATTCCAAGATTCCTTCTGGGATCTTGGAAAGTCTCATTTTTGAGTACAAATGTTCCTGTTCTGATTTTAAGAAAATTTAATTCCTGCCTGATCTATTATTGAAATGTAGAAAATAACATGGATATTTAAAGGACATTTTAGGCCCTTTTTATAAACTATAGAGTAGAAAAAACAAATATAGTGTGAAAACTTGTGCTTAATTTTGCTTTGAAAAAGGTTAATTTGGGCTCCATAAATATGCATCAGCATGTGAACTTCCTTACAATATCACAGTTTCCTGACAGAAGATCTACACCAAACATTTTTCATTCTGTATAATTACCACTCCTGACCATTTTTTCTCATCTCTCCCAGTTTTATTTTTGGATTTTATGCTGAATATATATGTATTTTTAGGGTTAATTGTAGTGAAAATGTTATTTCCTCAGTTTTCCTCTTTCCTGTTTTTCCTTCTCATTACTTCCTGTTTTGATTTATTGTCTAGATCAAATTCCTAAGTTTCCTCCACTTCTACCTACATTTAACCCGTCATTCTGTGTCCGTCCTCTGCAGCCAAACCTGTACCCGACCGTCGGCCTGCAGACGCCAGGCGAGGTGGTGGACGCGAACTTCGGCCAGCACCCGTTTGTTTTTGACATCGAGGACTACATGCGAGAGTGGAGGACGAAGATCCAGGCCCAGATCGACAGATGCCCCATCGGAGAGCGGGAGGGCGAGTGGCAGTCCATGATCCAGAAGTAAGGGGGTTAAAACACCAAACTGTTTTAAAACGGCTTTAAAATCCTTTTCTGGACGTTTTATCAGAACTGTTGTCATGTAAAAACTCATGGGACCATCAGAATTTAAATCATTGATCATAATAGTTGTTTTTTTAGTTGCTGATAGTTGACGGTCACGTCTGTTTGGTGCTTTATTGTAACATTTTCCTAAAGTGGGCGGGTCTCACCCTGCCTTCGTGGTTTCTGTTTTACAGTGCAGACATCACACTGCAAAAACACAAAGTCTTACCAAATATTAGTCTAATTTCTAGTGCAAATATCTTGGTCCACTTGAAATGAGAGAAATGATCTGAGAAACTGTTCAGCAAGACATAGGAGCTTGTTTTAAGTCAATGATTCCTTAATACTGATGAACAAATCGTTTCACTGGCAGATTATCTCAATTATAACGAGATTATTTTCCCATATTATAATGAAATAACGGAATGAATTATTCCATTATTGGAAATAAAACATTTTTGAATTGACATGAAGAAGCAGTTGAAAGTTGATTCACCTTTGAACCCGTGCTGCTTGTTGACACAAAATGGCTGCTGGCTGGTGTGACAGATATTTATCACTTTTGTTTCTGTGGAAGCTTTCTCCCTGCTTTTGTCCAAACAAAAACATTTTCATCTGCTGCTGATTCAGATAGAAAACATATTAGCGGTATTATGTCTTATATATAATACTTATTTTCCATTAGTGATGCAGTTATCTGCTAATTTAATGAAGCTTCATCCTTTAAACTCCCTGACTGAACATTTCATTTCTCTAATCTGTCGTTTCAAACATCATAAACTTTTACTGATTCCTGCAGGAACAGCAGATGGTTTAAATGTTTCTGGGTAGATTTAGCAACAAGCCGCTAAGTTTCTCTGGCTCGACTACATGGGGGAGGTTTTTATGGTTATATTTTTTTTAAAGATCAATAGTTGTGATTCATCCTGAAGCAGAAGATTAAACTACTGAGGCTAAACAATCAGAGGAGGAAACAGTCAAATTGTTCTGTTCTGGATGTTTCAGAGGTTCTTTGTTCAGTTTCCTGGTTGTTAAAATGTTTTATAACTTTTCCCTGGTTATTATGTTGTAGCTGGAGTTGAGCATTTCCAGCCTGCTGCTGCTCAGATGACATGAATTCAGTCTGATGTTGTCAGACCTGCTGGACTGATGGGATTAGTCTGCTGCTGCAGTGACGGCTGGTCCTGAACGGATTAAATCTCCACTTGGTGCAGATTTCAGCTGGAAGGGATGCAGGCTTTGTTTTTAGCAGAAACGTCGGTTTGCAGGCTGGTGCAAACAGACAACATGTTCTAGTAACACAAAGAGGAAAACTTTTAGTCTCTAAGAGAAGATTCTGTGAAGAAATGTAAGAAATCAGCTGGTCGGTTTGGTTGAAACAACGTGGAAGTGAGAACAAATGCAGACTTTCCTTTGCCTGCAAACTGACTTCCTGTTTTTAATGGGTCTGTTTTTCAGCTGTTATGTGCTTGTAGTCTTCCTGTAGACCAATAGAAAAGGTTCATTCTAGTTTCTGCTTTCAGTTTCATTCTTTTTAGAGTAAATCAGAAAATCTCTTCATGCCACTGTGGCTCAAAATCCAAAACATGAGCCTTCAGGTTCTGAAATGGTCAAATAAATCCCATGAGTGACATGAAGGTGGCTTCACTTCCTGGTGATGGCAAAATAATTCAACTACAGCGTCTAAAGATCAATAAACTTTTAATTTCTAACAAACATTTAACACTGGAAGTGGAAGACATTTCACATATCCTAAATAAATAAACACATCGTCCTTTAAAAAAGTTTGTAGCTGGAATCAATGCAGCAGACTGAAAACTTTCATGACTCAGTTTTTGGTAGAGAAAAAGAGAAACGAGAAACAAATGGAAATTATTGTGTGTATTTTTAATCTATTCAATNAATCNATCTTTATTCCAGACACAATAGTGAAAAAAAGGTAACAAACAAACAAAATATCCAATTAATTGATTTATTGCGCCAGGCTTGGTTTTAAACTCCTCTTGTGAAAACCGCTCTGTCCGCGGGGCCCAGAGCGGGGCCACACTGACGCTCTCAGCTCTAATAAACAGCTGATATCTGTTGCAACACTCAGCAGGAAACTCCACCGTCTCTTCAGCTCTGGACTGGAATAATCTCAGACGTGACGTCATTCCTCCATCTGAGGCTTCGGCCTCCCTACAGACCTAAAGGAGTTTCATCGGGCCTTTCTAACCTCTGAGTCTGTCTGGTTTCTCTGCAGAATGGTGGCTTCGTACCTGGTGCACCACAGCTACTGCGCCACCGCCGAAGCCTTCGCCAAGTCCACCGACCAGGCCGTGCACGAGGAACTCGCCTCCATCAAAAACAGACAGAGTGAGTTTCTCCTGGTTTTAGCTGAAACCTGGCAGCAGCTCAGGAAACGTTCTCCTTCCCCCCGGGTCCGTCACACCTGGTCCAGGTAACCGGTGCTGCAGGTTCCTCTGAATCCTGCTGACGGCTCGACTGGCTGCCTGGAGTCCTTGAAAATGCTTGAATTTCAATTCTGTGTTTTCAAGGTTGTTAAAGTCTTGATTTTTTGCATAAAACCTTTGAATGTGTTTAATATTCAAAAGATGCAGTTTTGACATAAAATACAAAGTTTGATAAAAAGCCTAAATTTACATTTGAACCCAGATATTTTCATACACTGAATAATTTATTTTTTTCACTTGTCTGACATTAAATCAGACTAAACTTTTCTTCCTTTAGGTCTGTTAAAATTACCAGAATATTTTATTTTTGCTAAATGCCAGAAAACTTTGTAAGAACAATTTTTATATATATTTTTGTAACTTTATTTTTTTGTGTTGAAGCATTTAATTTGAACAGGAAGGTCATTTACTTTAACACGATTTGTTTGGATTGTTTAACATAAAGAATATGAATTATTACTAATAGTTCAATTAAATCAGAGTTTTGTTGTCAGAATAATCAGGTGTGTGACAGACATTTCAAAACATAAAATTTAAATTTACCTTGTCCATTGTCCACATTAGTAATGACGGTAATAAATTATGTCATTTATTTGTGAATTGAAATGGTGTTTTTTGTAAGAGCGTTTGGGTTTTTTATCTCCAGGTGTTGTTGCTTACTTTATATTCTTGAAAAGCTCTTAAATGTCCTGTGGGAAAAGTGAACAAACTCCGACTTGAATCGGTTTAAAAACATCTAAAACACGAACAGGTTGATAACTATTTGAATGGAAACAAAGGAAAGTGTCTCATTGACCGTTTGTTGGTTGCAGAGATCCAGAAGTTGGTGTTGTCGGGTCGAATGGGCGAAGCCATCGAGACCACCCAGCAGCTCTACCCCAACCTCCTGGAGAGGAACCCAGACCTCCTCTTTATGCTCAAGTACGACTCAGAGGAGCTTTTTGTAAAATAACCAAAATGGATGCAGATCCTGATTCTATGCTCAAACCAGAACTTCTCCTGAAGAACCTGATGTTAAACGTTATCTGTCAGAAGCATCAGTAGTCTAACTGTCGTCTCCTTGATCGCCCTCTGTGTCTCCAGGGTGAGGCAGTTCATAGAGATGGTGAACGGGACGGACAGCGAGGTCAGGTGTCTGGGAGGACGCAGCCCCAAGTCTCAGGACAGTTACCCCGGCTCCCCCCGGCCCTTCAGCAGCCCCAGCCACAAAGCCAGCAGCTCCCAGCCCTACCTCACAGGTACGCCCCCTGCTGGGCGCCGCAGGTTTACTGGTTATCCTTCAGGATCCCCATAAGCTGCGATGACAGATTTAACATACAGAGCCATAAAAAATTAATTACAACAACAAAACCCTTGGATTACTATTCTCTCCTTGTTGAGAATATTGGTGGAGGGTTAGAGTTAGTTAGTTAACCCTAACCCTGCTGCCATGTCATGGACTTTTATCCACCTGGAGATCCTCCTGAGGGACATAAAAATAAGTTTCCAGTTGCAGAAAAAGGATTTTCTGTTTAATATTTTCAAGCTGATGTTTTTCTTGTTTTCCTCTGCAGGGTTTGACAGTAACTGCTGTAACGGCGTGACGTCCAGTAAGAGCCACAGCTCCTCCCCCCACAGTCACAAGCCCTGCCCCCCCAGCTCTGGCTCCGCCCTCCAGGGCTCTGACGTCAGCCTGAACGGCAGCCGCAGCCAGCAGCCCATCACCAGGTACGACCTCTGACCCCTGTTCAGCCCTACATTTTTTTTCTGAACTTGTCTGGGGGCGGAGTTACGCTTTCTTTCACAGAGGGATCATTTTCACTTTAAATTATCTCAGATGAGATCTCGGGTTTCTCCCTAATTCTCTGGAACGCTGAGGCAGAATCGACTCCTGTGAGCAGCGACGCCGTTCTCACTCCACTTCCTGTTTCCCCTCAGTAACGATGTGGACATGGAGGTCGACCACTTCACCAACGGCGTGACCGAGTCCTCCTCCAACGGCTTCCTGAACGGAACCTCCAAACACGCCACGGAGCCCGACGACTGCGACGCAGACATGGGTGGGTTCGATGCTTAAACGCAACATTCGTCATCCGTGCTGCTGCCTGGTTCCTGTCGAGAGTTTCGGTCCTGATTAATGAAGCTTTCTATGTTAGCAGCTTCTTTTCCAGCATCAGAATGTAACGACGAGCCGCTTGTAAGCTACTCCATACACAACGAAACAACAGAAACCGTTTGGTCACAGCTGCAAAGCTTCTCCAAACCCTGGACTGTAAAGGCTCCAAATCACTGAGCTGACGTGTAAAATCTGCATGTCTTGCATGGCGGACCGGCCGCGGTTCTGCAGAGGTGGAGTCGGCCCAGTCCAAGAGGCAGCTGTGTGGCGGGAGCCAGGCGGCCATCGAGAGGATGATCCACTTCGGCAGGGAGCTGCAGAGCATGAGCGAACACCTCCGCCGGGAATGCGGCAAGAACTCCGCCAACAAGAAGATGCTGAAGGTTCGGAAACCGAACCCGGTTATTTACCGCACTTCCTCTGACTATTAACTAAATGTCAACATTTTTCACAGAAAAAGTGTTTTTACAATGTGAAGAAACAGGAAAAAAAGACATAATGCAGCAAATATTTTGGACAAACTTCTTTAAAATAAAACCACAATATTACTTTTGTTGAAATCAGGAGTTTTTAAATCCATCTGGAGATTCAACAGACGAGTAGAAAACATCCACAACATGAGCAGCAACGATGAAGCATGAACCCTGATCTTCATGTAGATAGATGATGGTTCTGCAGAACCTGGTCGTGTTCTGATGTTAGAACCTCTGTGTTCTGATCCAGTCTCTTCTTCTTCTTGTGTTCTGCTGCAGGATGCGTTCAGCCTGCTGGCGTACTCCGACCCCTGGAGCAGCCCGGTGGGCTACCAGCTGGACGCCGTTCAGAGGGAGCCGGTCTGCTCCACTCTCAACAGTGCAATACTAGGTAGGTCCGCTCTGACCGGGCCGGAACCGGAGGGGTCCGCTCTGACCGGGCCGGAACCGGAGGGGTCCGCTCTGACCGGAGGGGTCCGCTCTGACCGGGCCGGAACCGGAGGGTCCGCTCTGACCGGACCGGATCTGGGGCATCCGACTGATCAGGAGTAGTGTGCTATTATAGAGCTTCAGATGTCAATTATTTTACTAATTGATTATTCTGATGATTGATCAGAACATTTGACATTCCTTTAACCATTGAAGTTTTAGCACCAATTTTTTCCTTACTCTGCCATAAAGACCAGATTTATGGCTGTAAAAACTTTAGCAAAGCATAAAACCTCATTTAAACGTCGAGCAGCAGAATGAGAGAAAAGCTCTGCATGATATAAACTACAGGCGACATATTGAGCCCAAATCTGGAGTTTTGTTGTTTTAATTCATTGTTTTTCTCTTCTTCTGTGTTTTTGTCTGCAGAGACTCACAACCTCCCGAAGCAGCCCCCCCTGGCTCAGGCCGTGGGCCAGGCCGCCCAGTGCCTCGCCATCATGGCACGAACTGGCATCGGCTCCTGCGCCTTCGCCTCTGTGGACGATTACCTGCACTAGCCACATGTACACACACACACACACACACACACACACGTTCTGAAGGCTCATCCAGAAAGCTTCCTCCCCTCGCTGCTGGAGAACCCGGCGGGGTCAGAGGTCGTTTCTGGATGGACCTTCAGAGATCGCCACATTAAAACGAACCGACCACCTCCATCGTCGTAAATAATAACCTTCACCCTGGTCTCTCAGAGGCGGCCATGTTTGCATCCTTCTGACAGGGAGGGGAAGTGGGGGGTTGGCTTTCAAAATAAAAGAAATACTCTGAGGCGAACTCGTGACTCGAAGCCGAAACACAAAAAAACCTGGATCAAACTTTAAAAAAGAAAAAAGGCTCTCAGTGAGCGCTGAGGAGCGCTCCGCCGCAGCCAATCGCAGCCCTCCACCCTCTCTGCACCCCCCGCCCTCCACTCACCCGGGACGCGGCGCAGGCCCGGCGATTTGGACTCGGGACTTCGAGGAAGCTGGAGAGAATCTGCAAGTCTCGACTTTCCCGTTTTTAATCTTCTGTTTAGTTTTTTGTTTTTTCTTTTGAGCAGTTTGTGGGTAGGGGGCGCTGTGGAGGCGGGTCACCTGCCGCCTCCTTTTTTGGTTTTAGTTTGTTTTCCCAGGTTTACAAGGCATGGTGCAGACCATAATGATGATTATTATTATTCTAATTATCATTATAATTATTGTTACTTGCATTCACAGTATATTTGTTGAGCGCCAGCCGGAGCGAGTTCCACCGACTTATTATAATAAAGGTCCCGATTCCACCGACTCCCCAGTGACCAGCGTGTGTACATGTAAACGTTTCTATATTACAAAGTGGAAATATATCAATAGAGCGACATATTTAGTTACCAAAATAATAAAAAGAGAGAGAGAAACCTTTAGTACTTTTCCTGACACCAGCAGACCCCTGAAGCAGGCTGGTTGTGTCGTTTTTTCTGTTCGACTCCAGGGTTTCTGAGCAGGCAGTAAAGGGACGACTACATCAGGCCCAGAGCTCTCGGCTGTGAAGCTGTTTAAAGCCAACGTTTGTTTTCCTGGTTTATTTTCTGCTTTTTGACCCCGAAGAACTCAGGAGCCACAGTGACGTTTAGTTTCTTCTCCAACCAATCAGCTGATGTGCCTCATGAACCCGGTTTGGATCAGAACCCGGTTTGGATCAGAACCCGGTTTGGATCGGAACCGACAGACCTGAGGCCTGTACTCCCAGGCAGGATTACTGTTTAACGGACTTTAAGTTTCACATTTTTTCCAAGAAAGGGCACACTTCCACCTTATTGTTTGAAAAATATGCAAAACTGTAGAGAAAATAAAAATGTCTTGAAACCTTAAATGAAAACAAAAGTTAACTTAATCTGATCTTACAAGTTCAAAATGTGGTTAAAAGAAATTATTTTAAAAATCCCACTGGGTCTCCAGCCTGTTGTTCTTAATCTCTTAAATTATTAGGAGGATCTGAAAGTTACCAAAATAATCTAAACAATTAAAAATGTAAAAATTACAGATTTTGGTCCCAAACTAACTTGAGTATTTCCCAACTGCCTAAAATAAAAACTGAATTCATCAAATTCATCATAAATGGCCACAATGTGTAGTAATGTAACAAAATTTGACTTCAAAATCTAATAAAACATCTTTAAGCCACATTATTTAATGCAGAATGGGATAAAATCATAGGAACTATTTTGTGCCGATCAGCTCTTTGTAATAATATGATGCATTATTTAATAAACCACAAACCAGAGTTTGTGTTCATCCTGATTATTATATTTCTAATAATGATCAAGTTGTTTAAATTTAAGCTTTGAACAAAAAACGCTGAACTTTTGGTCATTTAGTTTTCAGACTCTTGGCCAAAACACTTCATGTCAAATTTAATATGTTGTTAAAATGAGAAACTTTTTTGTTTTAAATGAGTTTTTCATCTTGTAATGATCCTGAATTTATTCCATCCTCTGATGGTTTGATGCTTCTGTACGTCACTATCCGGCCAACACTAGTTACTTATATGATGATGATAAATTAACAAGAGGCTGAGAGACGTATTTAATTTAGTTTTTAGTTTACTGGAGGTGCATCTCTACATAAATCAACATTTAAATTAAATGCATCACGTTCATGTTTATTCTGAATAGTTAACAAAATCATAGAAATAAAAACAATAAAGTTTGAATTAATCCTGCTCCAAAGCACAGATCTCAGGTCTGAAAGTTGAAGCAAATCCAAAGGAAATTCATGAAGGATGACATTTTATCTTTGAGGTTTTAAAACTGCAGATTAAAGAATCTGATCATAAACATCTGGATTCATCAGCTGTCAGTCCAACACAGCGTAGATCTAGATGAGCCTTCATATAGAAGCAGCAGCTCCAGAAAAATGAAACCATCTCTTCTTTGAATCAAACATCCAGTTTCTGACGGCAGTGATGAGATTTAACTGACTGGAAAGCACGGTGGTGGCAGTATCATGTTCTGAAAACAGGAGCAGGAACAAATCCTTTCCTAAAACCCGACGGGTCGCCTGAAAGTTCAGCGACTTTAAACCAACCAGTTCTGGAAGGAAACGGCTCCGCTGTGTTTTAATCCGTCTGGTTCCCAGAACTCATCCAGGTGGAACTAATCTGTTCTGTTTCATCTTCTGTTTTCCTCATTTTTATCCTCATTTTTTGCAGCTCACAAGCAGTGAAAAAAAAAAAGAAATCTTTAGACGAAGTGTCTTGTCTCTTTCTAAGGTCTGAACCTATGCATGCCATAGTAAAGTGGTGGTAAGATCCAGCTAGATGTCTCCTTTCTTTTGGTTCTCCTCCTTTTAGCCAGGAAGATGTCAACCAGTAAGTTGTCCACTGCTGACTGTGTGTCCATTTGGAGATGATTAAAAAATGTGCAATTTGTGTGAGGGTGAAAAGATTTATATTAAAAACAACCATGATGATGATGAGAGCAACTTGTGTGGATGCTGCATGAGGCCGGAGGCGAGAACTCTGTTCAGCTTAATCCCAGAAATAATCCAGAAAAATCCCTTCATGAAGCTCTGCATAATGAAACCAGACAGAAATGATTTTAACTGACACGTTGCTCTTCTGAAAATAGAAAAACTCACTTGTTTAAATTGAGTTTTTTTCCTTCAAAGATTCTCTGAATGAATTGCTGTATTGCCAGAAATCTCAGTTGCTGAATTGTTGCTCAGTTAGCATCAAGCTAACAGACATTTAAGCTACAATGCTAAAATATATTTTATAAATCTGTCCGTGCATCGATGGCTGTTTAGGCTGACAGATGAATTATGCTCAAACTGATGGATAAAACTGTTTAAAGAGGAAATGTTAACATTTTCCTGTACGGTTTTCTTTCCATCTTTCATGCTGAAGGTTAATATTTGCAAAGATGCTGCTGCTGCAAGATTTCCAAACTTTTTGAGCCAATTTTTAGTAAACTACAAAACTTTATGAATTAGTTGTAATAACCTTTCCTTTAACGGTAACGTTGCTGGATGATAGAATAAAATTGTCCCTGAAATTACTGTGATAAACTATATTATTGTTTTGAGACCATTTTCAAGTAATATATTAATAATGACATAATGTAAGTTCAAAGACTCCGAAAGCTGGAAAATATTACAACCAAAAACAAAATAGAAATAAAACATACAACTGAAACATAAAATTCTGATTCTGTAAACAAAATGGCTCTTAAATATTACTAATAATGGAAATGATTGAGCTGATTTTAATTTATCAGGTGATTATTGTGACATGCTAATCATCGGTTGTATGGATCAATGCTGGAATGAAAAAACAGATGGAGTGGAGTCCAAAATTATTCATACCCCTGGAAGATTTAAAGTAATCTGAAATATTATACATTGGTTTATAGTACCAGCAGGAATATTAAAGCACTGACCAGCGAGGACAAATATATTCAATGTTTAATCAAGTACAAAGTATAAAGTTCACCTTTATTATTAAATATTTACATGTCATAAACAGAACCATTAGAACATTTCTCCATGCGAAGCTTCTGGTCCTGAAACGAGGCTTAAAGTCCATCCTGGTTTGTTTCTCTGAAACTTTCAGTTCAGGTGAAGAAGCTCCGGCAGATTCTTCCTCCAGATTTCTGACGGCGGCCATGTTGGATGATTCCTGACGTTCCGGTCAGCTGGTGGGAATCTGCTGCTTGTGGATCCACCTCCTCTTCATCTTCTCTGCTTTAGCTTTCTCCTTAGAGGCTGCAAAAATCAGAGCAGAGGGCAAATTAAAGTCTTTATAGTTAAACGGAACAAGAGAAAATTAAAAAACATTTTAGTTAATAAAAATGGTAATTAATGGGGAAAACTTAACTACCTGGAATTACATCATGCATTTATCAAACAAAACCAAACTTAAACCAAATTTTAGATGAAATATATTTTGCTTTTGTGTTTAGAAGTCGATTTATTAATCTTTCAAATTGACGTGAAGTTGATTTATTTTTCCCAACACGACCGGTTTACGTCAGTTTACGGCCTCCACACTCCTCCAAAATGGCGACAGCAGAAGTTAAAATAAAACTCCAGAGTTAGTTTATTGTTCAACAGTTGAACAAATTTTTGAAAATTGTATCTTTTGTTTACTATTCATTACCCAGTCGATGTAAAACTATTGAATTTGTAACAATGTTTGCAGCTCATTAATGGTGTTTTTGAACGCACCCCAGTCCTTTTTAACAAACTGCACGGCTGCGCTCTTATCCGCCCTCGTCTTGTTCTTCAGGGACAGCATCTCATTATCTGGCAGGAGGAAAACAAAGCGTGAGCCTGAGAGGCAGGAGGTCAGCCTGAAGGCAGAGGATGTCCCCGCCTTGTCCCCGGCGGGACGTCCAGATGGACGCCCCGGAGACACGAGGCGGAACGTTTCTGTAGCAAAGCTCAAATTGAGACAGATCATCGTCTTTGCAGACTTCTGCCACAGAGTGTAGCTTGCACTTTTATAAGTTTTACCAAATAAAACTGAAAATAGCCGTCAGAGGATTCATGTCAGAAAATCCAGAAAAATCTCAACGATCTCTGATTTGAATCACTAAAGTCTGACAGGATCGTCTTCTTACTCGAGCTCCTGCAGCTTCCCGGTCCGTACAATCTGGACTGGATGAAATCCTCCGCCGCCTGCCGCTGGTAGTCGCTCTGCCCTCGATCCGTCGCCGTGGAAACCGTGTAGCTGCCCTTCAGGCTGCGAGGCAGAGCAGCAGAGGAAAGGCATTAATCAATCTGATTTATTTAAAATGAGCAGAAATCCGTTGGGATGGAGAAGAGTTCCTCATTTCACTTCCTGGGTTTTAACAAATGTTTTCACGTATCATCAGACTAACAGGTTTGTTTCTTACTTTCTGACTCCTGAGAGTTTCTTTGTCTTCCTCTTCTTCTTTTCCTCTTCATCTGAGTGAGATCATGAGTTAGTGATGAATAGACATTAATATTTACAATCCAAGAGGATTATACCGTACCTTCATCCTCAGCCGGTTTCTGTTTCCTGAAAGGAAAAAAAAAATGTAAACGTCGAGTGAAACGACAAATGGTTGAATGAGTCTGAGACGTTGACTCACTTTGAAGGAACTGAGTCGATTTCCTCCAACACATCGGCTGAGAGGAGTTTCTTCTTCTGTCAGGGCAACGGAATAAACGTTTTAAAAATTTATTTAAAGTTTCTTTATTCTCTACAAAAATGTTTTGTTTTAAAAAATAATTGAAAAAAGGAGTTAAAATTAAGATGAACTATAACCAGTGTTATCACAATTTTCAGTATCATAAGTTTCCTGAAATCACGTGCCTACATTAACTGGTTAATTTAATTAATGCACTTTTCTTAATAAATACTTTTGTAGGGTTTTTTTTCCCTTAGTTTTTCAAAATAAAACATTAAATCTAATAATAAATCAGATCATATAGCACTGAATAAATATTGTATTTCTAATCTAATAAGACCCACAATGGAAGTTTGTGCTCCAGATTGCAGTAATGGAGTAAAAATGAACTCAATTTATATAAAATATGAACAATTTATGATGCAAAAGAAAAACGCATGCGAGAAGAAAAAAGTTAAACAGACCTTCTGTTCCTGGAAAAACTCCTGTCTCTTCCTCCTCTTCTCCTTCAGCAGCTCCTTCTCTCTGGAAACATAAAACAATTTAAACAAACTCCTATAAGTTTAAACTCGAGTTTAACACATTTCTAATTATTAATAAAATAAGTTAAATTAGACGCTGCCGATGGAACGAGTAACTTAAAATATATTTGACTGTCTTGCAAAGTTGCTCTTTCAGTCTTAATTCCGGTTATTTATCAGATAAATCTCTAAAAGGTGAAATGTATTGGATGGAGTTCTGTGACTCGGTGTAGCTTCGGAGCTAACTGAGTGTTAGCCACCTCCTGGCCGTGTCCAGCGCCAGCTTCAGGCTCTCCACAGCCCGGGCCTTCGAGTCCTCAAAGGTTACTTCCTCCGGCGCCTCGTCGTCACTAGAATCCAGCGCCAAGTTGAAATCACCGACACCTTTTTCATTTTCTGCCTTTTTCTGCAAAGAGGCGCCTTTCCCACGTTGTTTTTTCGCCATGTTGTCCCTCTTTGTCGGCACCCATGGAAGTGACATCATCTCTTCGCGCAGCAGCCTGATGCTGGACAGAAGTCTGGCGGGGAACTTTTGCCCCCTAATGGCGAAAATAAGAACTACAGTAGAAAAAGCGTTTTCATTATGTTTAAATATTTATGAAGTCATCTATTTTCAATAACTTAAAAGTAGTAGATTTTATACAAATTGGTTTACATGTATTTGTCTTTTTATAAATATATTTTCATGTATTTTAAAATAATGAAACCCCAAAGTGGTCTGTTCTATGTGTTCTTCCCTTCTCGTCAGGTTATTATAAGAATTTGCTATTCACCTGGTTAAATAAATACAATAAAAAGTTTATTTTAAATAAAATAATATTAGATAGAACTACACACCAGTTTCTCTGATGTTGAAGGTGTTATTTAAAAATAATGAAATGCAAAAATAATAATTACAAATAATAATAATTACAAATAACTTATAAAATGCACTTTTCTAAAATAAGTATAATTTATTTAACATTAATTATAGTAATTATACATTAATTAATTATAGTAATTGTGTATATATATTTTCAAGATGCTGATATACCTATTTAAATCATTTTTTACACTTTTTAATTTGGATTTTTTTTTCTTATTTTATTTCATTGATGACGGCATTTTTTTCCCCTAATTTATGCTTTTATTCTGAAAGCTGAATAACGTTACCGGAAGTCGCTCTGCAGCTTATTTAGATTAACTTGTCAGCAGCCTCTGCAGAGCGCTTCCATCATCAACAACCACCGGAGCGAATAACGGGACTCCGGGCAAAATGCACCGACTCTTGCTAGTGTTTGTGGCCGCCGCCGGGGTTTCTGGGTTCGGCCTCCCGCGCCGCCTGGATGCCTCCCCGGCGGCCGAGCCTTGCGACGCCCCGCTGCAGTGGGAGGGAAAGTGGGTGGTGTACGACCACAGCACGGGCAGAAACAGCCGGGCCGCGGTCTCCTACGACGGCCAGAACCAGCGGATCCGAGTCCTGCAGCAGCACAAGAAACACACTCCGTGTCAGAGGTACAAACAAGTCATGGTTCGGTGATTAGTTTTAATCTATTATAAATGCTCAAAAAATAAATATCCTTCTAATGTTTTTGTTATTTTAACTAATTGAAATTAATATATACACATTTTTACCCTTAAGTATCAGTTTAAAGTATCTAAAAAAGACCAAATTATATAATAAGGTTGATCAAGTAATATTTCCTATGTCACTGAGCAAGTTTGTATTTTTGTCCCATTTTTGTAATAAAGTTTGAAATAAATAATTCTTATGAAGTCTATATATATATATATATATATATATATATATAAATCCCCTGGTCTCTTTCTTCCTCTGAGCTCGGGTCCTCTACCAGAGGCCTGGGAGCTTGAGGGTTCTCAAGGCTGTGCCTAGAACTGCACATTTCTGGACTGAGATGTCTGATGTTGGTCCTGGGATCTGTTTGAGCCACTGCTCCAGTTTGGGGGTGACTGCCCCGAGGGCCCCGATGACCACAGGCACCACTGTGGTCTTCACCTTCCAGGCCTCCTCCAGTTCCTCTCTGAGGCCCTGGTATTTCT